GCTTCCTGAATGTGAGCAACTCCCCTCTACTGTTGAAGCCACCCCATCGATGGTGTGTTGTTGTGATTGAGTGACATGGGACATTGGTTATGAGTTTCTGGAGGCTCTCAACTCCTTAGAATGACCTTGGTGAGCCAGTAGACACAGCTTCAACCCTCACTGCTCATGCATCTCTGCTGTGTTACAGCATTCCCATGTTGCTGTCTTCCTTATGAGAATGGCATAGCCCTCTACGCACCGTTCTCACTCAGTTTCTCTCTCTCTCCCGCCCCCTTCTACCTTCTTCCTCTTTAACTTCCCGGTGTCATTAACAGTCTTTACTGGCAGATACAGGAAGTCATGGGAGATAATCTCACCTGCTTCGGAAAAGCAAAGTTGACCAGTCATTGATGATGGGACAACATGCTGAGTTCTCTCCCACACAAGGTCTGCCTGTAGGGTTTCTCTCTATAGAAAGCTGTATTTTCTCTACATATTGGCTGCGTTCTTCAGGCCTTCAGTACAAGAGTAATTGGTTCTTGATTAAATGATGAATTATCTGGTCCCTGAATGAAAGGGAGTAGTCTGTGACTGGTTTTTAAGAGAAGGATACCAGTGTTTCAAAATCTTTGACGTATAAGATTTGTTTGGTTTGGCAGAAAAAATCCCATTGTTTTTGTTTTGTTTGGCTCATTCATTCATTCATTCATTCATTCATGAATGCATGTGTTTATTTTGGCAGAACTGGTGATCAAGGCCCTGAACAGGCTGGGTCCCTTCTCTACCACTGATCTACTCTCTGGTCCATCTCAGTTTCTTTTCTTAAAAGCCACTATCTCTCTCCCTGTAACTTTCCTCTGTTGTGGGATATTCCAGACTGTCAACAAAGTTTACCTTGTATCAGGGAGGAGCCAGCAACTAGCTGACCAGAATTAGCCACAGAGAAGCCAGCAATTTGGATAGAGAAGGAAATAGTGGGGGACTTGAGTTTGGAGTTTTCCTTTTGGTTTGGAGGACAAGTGAAGAGACACATCTTGGTCTCTGACCAACAGCAAGGTCTTCAAGATCTGGTTGCTTTCAGCATCTTTGATCTATCTGATTTTCACCTTCCAGATCTGACTTCTGAATCTTTGTTGGTTAATAGAACAATAGAGACTTAGTTTAAACATACATATCATGGCAGGGGTTGGTGGGAGGCATAACCCAAATGCTCAGGCCAGCCAATGGGGCTTCGGGACCAGCAGGCATTGACTTCTGGGCCAAAGACAATAAATAAAATATCAGAAGAGCCATGTACAGCCACCAAGCCAACCGAAAAACGTCATTCTTCGTCACCTCAGTAAGCAAACCAGGGATATGTGGCCAGCGATGTACCCATTTAGTAAGGTATTGATTCAATTTCTCATTCATCCACTTATAAGTACTCATGATTACAGGGTGGGGCATGTGTATTTTCTGGGGGAAATGCTAGCACAATGCAGGTCTAAACAGCCAAAAGGATAAAGAACAAACCAGCTCAGTTTGCTTCCTAGGGTTCACCTAATGCTTCCTTGTTTGACAGCTGAGTCTGACTGGAACCACGCTCTTTCTTTCTGCCCTGGCCTCAGTTGCTGTTACAGCTCATAGTAATAATGTCAGAATGTCCAATTTACCAACAATAGATGACTAACGTTTAATATCCCAGCTCCTCTTTATTTATCCCACTTTCTATTGTTACTGTTATCTTCTCTATTTTACATTGAAGTTGTGGCCTCAGTCATGGAAAAACAACGGCCCCTGGAAAGGCCAGTGTGTTCTAGACGGGAACTGAAGAATCAGGAATCCTGGGGTTGAATACTGTTTTGGACATCTTCCTTCACTCTGTTCCTAGCTTTGTTTTATCTTCTGCAAAGGAAATGCAGAAACATAGGACAGCTTTCTTTCTGGCACTATAACTATACTGTTTTTTTTTTTTTTTTGGTTGTTTGTTTTTGTTTTTGTTTTGGGTTATTTTTTAGGACTGTCTTTGTGGCATTTGCATAGTTAAATTTTGGGGACAGGATGGTTTTTAGAGCCCTGTGATCAGTGTTGATTGATCCCAAGTCCACTGCCAGGATTAGTGATTGCCAAGGAGGACTCAAAGGATGTGTCCTATTATCACAACAATGACCTAGGCAGCAAAAGGGAACTGAGTTCTGCCAGCAAGGTGAAAGCAGGTAGGCAGAGTCCAGGGGGAACCAGGTGCTAGCCTTCCAGTCAAGGTTCTTCTCAAGTGGAGTCACACTGACCATCTTAATTAGTTCAGCAATGAGCTGTGACATCACGTGTGACATGCAGTTAGTGATGCAAGCTTATAGAGACTGTGCCCCCAGAGTTTGTATTAGGGGTAGTCACATAGACATGCCAAAAGTCCAATTCTCAGAAGGAACACAAGTGTTTCAGATAAACCAGACTGTTTATGAGAGCAGTTTAAACACAGTGAGCCACCATTACTTCATAGTGGTGGGAGCCCTACTGAAATCTAACTCCCAGACACCAGCTGTGTGCCAACCCCCTGTCTCTCATGGGGTCACATTTGTTTCCTAGTTTAGGCTTGTATACTACTCTGTGGTATATAAAAATCACGATAGAATAAAATAGTATTTTTTCCATATGAGTCATTTTTTCCCCATTAACAAAGCAATGTTTTCATTCAAGGAAGCTTGGTAAGTAAAAGAAAATAGAAGGGAAACAAGGTCTGTGTGGTAGCTTGTCAACAGAATTATCTCTGGCTAATCACCTTTTATCTACTTGGGACCTTATTAGCATAATACTCACTTAAATGCTATTCTGCGCTCATTTTTTTTATTTTATAGAAACTTTTCAAGTTATTTCAGAACATTTTGCAAACACGGTTTGTTACACCTGTAATTTACCAGAGCATGATGCACATTACATCACCAATGTACCATTTAAATATAAGCAACCCTATGGCAAGCATCTCTGTGCACAAAGCTCTTTCTGTGTTTAGAATTGCTGCTGCTGGAAAATTCCCAGAGATGGATTTACCAAGACTAAGGTTATGGATGAAGTTTTGAAACTCTCCATTATGTCTTGCCTGTGCTTTCCAAGGGTATAATATACGATACCCACTAACCAAGTGCTTCTCCAAAACAAAACACTACTTCCGTTTGTTCTCCTTTGGTAGTTTTTCTTTTACTTTCCTTCTTCCCATCAGCCTGGCCTCTGCTGTTTAATTAGCCCTCCACAGGGCCCTGCTGTATGTAGATGGTGGGATTCATACATTTCTTTTTAGAGCAAGACTGTCACCTAAGAATCCTCATTATACTGTGGCTATTGGGTGAGAAACTAGACCCATTTGCTAGTTTTCTGAGTGAAGGGGACCCACGTTCTTTAGCTTTGGACTTGTGGGACAAGAGAGGGATGCTTGAGGAGGACGGGGAAGAGGGGATCTGGGGGCCTCTGCTGGCTGGTGGCACAGTGTTCAGCTGGACCCTGGGTAAGTGCAAGAGGAACAAAGGGATCCTAAGAGGCAGGGTTTGAAAAGACGTCATCAAGAGGTGCAGCATAATATTCATGCTCTAGAAGAACGTTGACCGCGTGAGCACCCGGAGGAAGTGCAGACAGCGAGAAGTTGAGTTTGGAAGTAGCTGGCTCAGGCTGTGCTCTTCCGCCATCTCTGCGCCGTTGCTCAACAGCCGGTGTTCCTCATCTCCCTCATTGGTAAAAGGGGAATGCCAAACCCTACCCACCTGTCTCGCAAGGCCTCTGGGAATCAGGCTCAAATTGGATAGTTAATGTTCAGGACATCAGTGTGCAAATTGTCTCTGGTGCAACGAATGCACGAGTCAGTGATTACAAGGAAATGACAGGAGAGAAAACTTCATGATCTCAAAAGTTGTGGGCAAACCTCCCAGAGCCTTGCTGGGTTTAAGCATCAGGCAATCATAGACATGACTGCCAAGAGGTGGGTTTGAAACGCCAGAAAGTGTTGTATTTTCATCTAACTAAAGCACATTTCATGGGTAAGAAACTTGTGTCATTGTGTGAATATTTTAATTAGGAGGAAGTCCCGCTGAGCCTTAGCATTTGCTCTGGGTTATCTATTTGTTTGTTGTTGTTGTTTGAGAGAAAGAAATACATTCCAATACATACACATGCAAATGAACTACTGAAACAAAATCTCTTACTGAATTAGCAATAATTAAGCTGAACCAGATAGCAAACTACGTGTGTGTGTGTGTGTGTGTGTGTGTGTGTGTGTGTGTGTGTGTCACACATGGTGAGGATTGGCTAAAACTCTTATTAAAATATGCATGTACAGCCTGGAGAGATGACTCAGAGGTTAAGAGCACTAGCTGCTCTTCCAGAGGAACTGGGTTCAACTCCCAGCATCCATATGGTGGCTCACAACCATCTGTGGTGAGATTTGGTGCCCTCTTCTGGCAACCAAGCATACATGCAGGCAGAACACTATATATACATAATGAATAAATAAATCTTTAAAAAATATGCATGTACAATTAAGAAAATACAAAAGGCACAAACACCACAAATTTCTTGTCTCAGAGGCAGCCATCACACACACACACACACACACACACACACACACCACCACCACCACCACCACCACCACCACCTTCTAGTATTTTTTGATCAGAGTTTAAATATCATTTGTTCTTTAGGCAACAGGGCAAAAGAGAAATTTTGTCCTGGCGTCATACAGAGGCGATTACAGCCACGTCTGTAGGGACTGGGGAGAAGCATTACTGGTTGAGAGACTTGTTGATCTTGCAGATTACCTGGGTTTGGGTTCCAGCATCCACGTGGTAGCTCACAATCATCCATAAATCTAGTTCCAGGGGGCCTAATACCCTCTTCTCACTTCCTTGGACCCCAGGCACACAAATAGCGCACATACATACATGCAAGTAAAACATTCATGCACACGAAACTTAAAAAAAATATTAAAGGGTTAGATTTAGTGTCTTATCTCTGCTACTTGCTGGCTATGACATGTGACATTACAGGAAGTCGCTTAGTTTCTCTGGGTTTTGCTATCTTTATTCATAAAACGGAAACCATGATTCTTTCTTTCCAAGTCAGTAGCTACCCAAAACAACATGCACAAAGGAATAAGCTGGGCTGGGGAAGTCCTCAGTGGCAAGGTCCTGAGTGAGTTCTGTCTGCAGCATTTCACACACAAACGTAGAGATCAGTGTCCAGAAACTGTACTGCACACAAAACTACAGGCTTTAGCTAGAAACAAGAGTTCAGGTTACTTATAAACAGGTGTGCTGGTTAGTTTTCAGTTAACTTGACACAATCGAGGGTCGTGGGGACGAGGGCCCCTCTAGTGAGAAACTGCCGCCATGAGGTTGGCCTGACAGAGAGCCTGTGGGACATTTTCTTGATTCATGATTAACGCGGAGGACCCGGCCCCTAGTTAGGTGGTCCTGGGTGGGGTAAGAGAGAAGGCTGAGCAAGTGTTACGTCTACACAGACAGGGTTAGAACCCAATTTTCCTTCCTCTCATTCTCCCCATGGATTGAACACCTGTGTTCTAGCTCACTCCACTGGGCACAAAGGTACAAAGGTATATAGGAGACTAATCTTTCTCCAGAAGCTTCGGTGTTAAGAAATTCCTTCCGAAAGTGTGAGCTGAAGGCCTCTCATCGTCCTACAGTCTCCTCCAAGGTGCTTTTGAAAAGCGAGGAAAGACGTGGAAGACCGCCAGGCCCTTGCTCGAGGCTCCTTCGTCATACAGACTGTCTGGAACGCGCCAGCGTTTGCCACTCCTCCAGTCGATGGTCACCGACACTGGCCCGCCAGTGCCCAGAGGAGAAGGGCTGCAGCCAAGAGCTCTATGACAACCGTGTAGTGGTGTGCTCTGCAGAAACATGGAGTTTCTGGGCGGGGTCTTTGGAAAACACCACGCCCACACTCAGCTGACGCTGAGGTGAAACTTTGGTAGAGCCCAGCCCTGACTCTCAGCCTTCATTGTTATCACCTGTGCCATGCCTGCCTCTGAGCGGTGCTCCATCACTTGAGATGCTTTCTAAGGAGATGCCGATAAACACGCCGCCTCCTTCACCGAAGGAGCTGGAAACGCCATGGCCATTGTCATCATCTGCCCCAGAAGCAAACACAGGCACATCGCAATCTATGGCCCACTCTCACCCTCATTCCATCCCAAAGTCACCTCCTGGGGGACCAAAGGCACCCCAAGCCTTGACAAAAAAATCCTGTCTCTGGAGCCCCACTCTTCACGTGCAGCAGCTAAGCACTAGCGCCCCTTTCCCCAGCTGGTCTTGCTCTTTACGGGGCCCCCTTACCACCACCCCTTTCCTCTCTCAGCTCGGTGTAGTGGGAAACACACAGCACCCCAGGAGAGGGCAGAGGCAGAGACCTGTTACCAGCTTTGTAAGCTCCTGCAATGGCAGATGGCTGCAGCCTGCAGCCTCTTGCTGTAGCCAAGATGTCTTCATCTGTCCTCCCAGGACCCCGGAAAAATGCTTCTGGCAAGAGAAGGAGGAAGGGGTAAGAAGTCTCGGTATGAGGCCTTGCATTCAGAGGGCCCTTTATGGGTTTAGATGTGTAATGCGGGTTTAATGGTAGTCAGGGGGCAGGTGATTAGGAGCAGCAGGCCGCTCTGATCGCCCTTGTACACAGCCCCTGATAGCTCCCAGCACTCTGAAGCCTTGTTTGCTTTCTGTGAGACAGAAATCCCACAAGATCTGCCCGCTGCCAGCTGTCGAGCTAACGAACTGTCTGCGTGCTGCTGAATGGGAGCCCGTAGCCTGGCGAGAGGCTCAGCATCCCTGGCTGTCTCCAAGTGTGATTGCCTTTATCTAGCCGGCGCAGGCGCCCTTCTAATCAGGCGGCTGCTGGCCTCCAAGGGTCAAACCCGGACCATCGCTACCTAAACAAACGAAGACGGTGTCACCTTTGTGGGGAGACTGATAAGCAGTTGGCAGGCAGGCCACGGGCAAGAGAAGGCGCCAGCAGCCAGCAATCTGCGGAGGCCGTAAATATGCCGCATTCTCAGCAGGGAGACGGGCAATATAGCCACCAAGAGGCCTTTGTTTAATGAGCTGTCAGAAAGCAGGCATGAAATTATGTTTGAAAACATGTGCGAGCTGCAGAGACAGAGTGGGGCCTATAAATGGTCGTCTTCCTTCACCAGGGATGGCTGCGGCATCTTATCAGTGTGCTGGCTGTCATCGCATGAAAGCTATCATTAGCAAACTAATGGTGTTTGAAAGCTACAAATTTTTCTCTCTCTTCTCTATTTTTGACTTAAATGAATTATAGAAAATTTTTAATTGTTTTATTTTTCTTTCCTTGGGGTTTTGGTAAATATGCAAATTGGAAGAGAATCAAAAACAAAAAACAAAAGCCCCCCCAAAATGTATCTGTGGAAGAGTGGAGGAAGCCATTAGGCATGCAGGCTCGTTTCAGATTACTCAGCCTGTATTCTCTCCAGTTCTGTGGAGACCCCATTCAGAGAACTCTAACGAAACTCCAACTGCCATTTTATTTCAATCAGGCCCGTAAAAGAAGGCATAAATATAGAATGAATTGCTCGCTGATAATCTGCATACTAAAGTTAGTGGGTAGGTAGAAAACCGTTTCTACCACATCAGCCATCAAATAGAGAATAATTTTTGGAGGACCCAAAACTACTCTTGGGGCCACATGACTGCAGAGTCTCTCTCTCTCTCTCTCTCTCTCTCTCTCTCTCTCTCTCTCTCTCTCTCTCTCTCTCTCTCTCAAATTTAAATTAGAAGTGATCTTGTTTTACATATCAGTTCCAGTTCTCTCCCCATCCCATCCCTCCCATGTCCTCCACCAACCCCCCCATTCCATCCCCTTTCTGCTCTCCAGGGAGGGTGAAGCCTTCCATGGGGGATCTTCAAAGTCTGTCACATCATTTGGAGCAGGGCCTAGACCCTCCCCCGTGTGTCTAGGCTGAGAGAGCATCCCTCTATGAGGAATGGGCTCCCAAAGTCCATTTGCATCCCAAGGATAAATACTGTTCCATTTCCAGAGGCCCCATAGACTGCCCAGGCCTCCTAACTGACACCCACGTTCAGGGGTCAAGACCAGGCTAGGGAAACCCACAGAAACAGCTGACTTAAAGAAGGGGGAGCTCATGGACCCCAGACTGACAGCTGGGAAACCAGCATAGGACTGACCCAGGCCCCCTGAACATGGGAGTCTATCTCTCTTTAGGGTGAAACGTAAAGACTTTTATAACATCTGCTGGGACTGAGAGGCACTGCAGAGTCGGGACCCACTTGGGCCGCATTCTCAAACGCTGACACGATATGTGAGACACAGAAGTGGGTGATTTGTCTGTGTCAATGGGAAGGGAGAACTGTAGTCCACACCAGAGCCCAGAGAAGTGGTACCAAATAAAACTAGGAGAGCAACCATGGCCAGACTGCTCTGCCCAGAACAAGCACAAAGGGTGACCTTGTCCTGAGTTTTCCAGATGGAGAGCAGAGAGTTAGTCAGAGCTGAAGCTGCCCTGTGGGCATTTTCCGGGGCTACTTTGTAGAAGCTACAATTCTTGACATCGCTTTTAGATTGGAAAACATTTCATTTATTCTAGTCCAATAAATACGGAAAGAGTCCTTATTAGGTGCTTATATTGCGCTGAGCATGGTGCAGAATGTTAAAAACTGTGTAGTTGGATCTCTCTCTCTCTCTCTCTCTCTGTGTGTGTGTGTGTGTGTGTGTGTGTGCAGCGTATATAAAATAGTAGGTGTCCACATGTCTTTTTGAAATGTCCTTGGAGTTAGTTATCCCTCATCCCACCCCCTCCTTTTATGGCTGCATCTCTTGTTTGGCATTGGGAGTTCTGACACAGATAAGAATGTAAGAGGTAAACTGTGGGATCACCTGCCTCACAGGGTAGTTTTCTCAAGTATTACCCAGCTATCTGAAGTCATTTGCTGTATAATCAACTTGCTTCTAATAATTTGAAATGCTAGCTTAGTCTAATCTTATCCTAAATTCCTTAGGTGTACATACATCCTCTCCCTAGGCATTTGAAATCTCTGCATGCATCTGGACTTCTGTGAGGCTCCCGTTTTATTGCTATTTACTTGATGTGTACACCACACTGCTTTAATTCCTGTCATTGCTTGAGTAGATACGTTTAGGTTTTCCAAGTAAGCAATCCACAAAGAATAATACTTTTCCTTTCTTATTTTCAGGGTTTATATTTTCAATTTCTGTTTCTTACATGAGTGTATCAGCTAGTAACTCCAGAATAGTACACACAACAGTAGTAAAGTTTAAGTATTTACATTAAATTTGTTAGGAATGAAACTTGGGTGGATGATAAATTTTATCAGGCATTTTTTTTCAACATCCATAAGACCAGGATGGTTCTCTTTCTGTAACTGATTTGGTTAGTAAGAAAAGGAATGGTTAACCTCAAGCTGAAACCTGGAATGCATCCTACACAGCCCTGGGGCAAAGACTTTACACGTAGCTTTTCATGTCTTTATTTTCCGGATATTTAAGTTTTTGACTTTTTTTCCTATTTTACTCCATAGTTACTTACTACTGAGTATGTCTTAGGAAAGTAAGCTTTTTGTCTTCATGGTTTCACTGTGATCCGAGTCTGTGATTTGCACTGTTTCTCCTGTGTGGGTCTTAGTGACATTTTCTGCTCTTGTGGACAAGTGCTTCACCTACTCACAATGCTCAGATCTCTAGCACTTATCATGTCCTTATTATTGGCCAACGATCCTGATTCCCACTTTACTGGAAAATGCACTGGAAGCACTGGATGACAATTCCCAAATTCCCTCAGTAATGGCTTCCTGCCTGCCGGGATCTGGGGCGCGTGTCCTGCTCCCTCCACCACCCTGTTATAGAATTGACCTTGTTCCTCTTCTAGACCAACCTGTGCTCATGCATGAGGTCTCACCCTGCTTTATTAGATACCAACTGTTTCTCTTCTGTAAAAGGCCCATTCCAGCAGTACACGGCCACAGTGTTACATTACCTTAAAAATGAAAATGCGAAATCTAATGTGCTTCTCCTCACAGCACTTATCCTTCTTTACCTATCACTTAACAAAACCCCTTGACGACGCTCTAATCCCACACCTTGCCATTGTCACGTAAGCCACTTAGTCTTCTCCAGTTAGTTTGTGGGTTCTAATACACCACTAAACCTTTGCTTGCTAATATTATCGAAGACTCCCTTGTTGTTGCCTGCTCTGGGTACCCATGGAACCTGACACATGGGTACTATAATGGGCAGCAAATCTATTGCTTCTTGAGGAAACGATTTCTTTTTGTTGTTGTTGTTCTATAAGACATTGTACACTCAATTTTCCTTCAACTTCCCCAATTGTTCCTTCTTAGTCTCCTTTACTGGTTCCATTTGGCCCCCTTCATTTCATAACATTGACCTGCTGCAGATCTGGTCCAGGTCTCCTTAATCCCATGTCTTCCTCCTCCACTTCAATATTTTGGCTTTAAATAGCATCTACATGAGATGGACATGATCACCACACCCTGTTCTGAGCTTACAGCATACCCTGAGGTGATTGCCTCCCAATTTCATGGCTTTAAATGGCATTTATCTTCAACAGTTCTCAAGTGCACGCCTTCTGCCTTGGTAACTGCCCTGAACATCATCACATATCAAACATTTGTCAGTTGTGTCTCTAATGGATGCCTCAGTATATAAACAAAAATCCTGGTCTTATTTGCTTACAGTTCTCCCAGTCTCAGCCAAAGGTATCCATGCTCTGAGTCTGTAGAGCCTTCAGCCTTAGGAAGCATTTTACTGTGCCAGATGAGTGTTCACCATTGCCATAGCAAGAGAAAACTTTCCAGAAAATGGCAAGAAGAGGGTTTCTGGGTTGTGAAGTCCTTTAAGGCACGAGCTAACCTTCACCTCTATGCCTGTGTATTACCTCTTTTCAAGTTCCAGTATAATGCTCTGACCTGCAAAAGACCCCATCTTTGTGCATTCAGAGACTATCCTCTTCCCTAATTGAAGTCAGATGGTTGGCTTGTGAGTTTCTCTCCCCCTTTCCCGAGCTGCCTCTTAACAGCTGTGGTCTATTGCCAATGAGTTATCAGTGGACAGACATGAGATTCCTTTATGATGTTAAATGACATATTACAGTGTTTCTTCTACAAACTACAAAAGCTGAACATCATGGACAATATTAAATCTTGTGCAGCGGTTATTCATTCCTTAAAGTACATGTTGATTTCTGAACTATAACTGCATGATGATTTTTGGCCATTTTCCTAACATATGCTCCATTTCATGAAAAAATATTTTCATAGAATTGGATGATCTTCACTAGTTTCACATTTTTAGGCAATAACAACAACATCAAGAATTGAGTCTGACCTTAAATGTTGGAAATGGATCAATCAGTATTAAAACACAATTAAATCAAAATTAAGACCTACCAATGTAATAATTGATTTATGCAAGGGTCATCAGCAGTTGCTTCAGCCACTGAATAATACATCATGTAGTCTCACGATCACACAAGATATTTATTAGTTGTGTGGAGAGGGTTGCAAGATATTACCTAACCAACTAACACCAAACTGACATAAGTTTTAGTCTCACTGTCACTTTGTGCTTCTGGAAGGGACAGGAAAAATTACAGTGATTTCAGAATTCTTAACAAAGGTGGTTAAACTGATACTAGTTAAAAGGAAACATAAGAGTTTAGAATAAACAGAAGAAATCCTTTATCTAGGGATATCCACTTAGAGTTGTAGTATTGCGGCAAGTGGGACTCACTTTCAAAAACCTGGGCAAGTAGCAGAAAAGGTGACAGTTGTAAATGAGGCGAATGTGCTTACTATGGCTATATTATATACTTAAGATAAGAACTTTATGGTACTTTTTTTTGAAAACTGAAAAGCAAATGAATGAAAAAAAATACCTTCACAAAGAGGCACCTTAGGGGAGAGACCATCTTTTCCTTTTGAAGGTTTCCAGGACCCTTAATTGTTCCTCCACACTGGTGGCTTTCCTTTCTATTCTGATGTTAATCTATTACCTCTCACTATTACCCATACCAGTTGTCATAATGCCAGTTAGCTTCCTTGAACATTGCTATTGGACACCTATTTCCTTCAAGTTGAAACCTACCTCCTGAAGCGGGGATCAAGAGACTGAGGAAGATAAACTTACAAGGTTTAGAGAGGTGCTGAGTGACAGGACTCATGACGCCCCCCTCCCCCCAGTGATGGCTAACCTTGGTTGTTAACTTGACTCCATTTGGAATCAGCTAGGAGATAAACTGCTAGGCACCCTGTGAGGGATTTCCTTGACCAGGTCATTGTAAGTAGGACAACCACCCTAGATGGAAGTGATACCCTCTGCTGGCTGCCAGGTAACAGGGAGGCCAAGAGAGGAGCATTATTATTATTGCTATTATTATTATTATTATTATTATTATTATTATTATTATTTGCCTCACACCTCTACATCTCGCTATCTGAATGGGAGGTTTATCTATCTTGTTGCCACCACAGCTGCTGCCACATTCTTTCCATGATATCAGAACTCAGCTTCTTTGGTATTCCAATGTGTAATGAAGTGCTTCTCCA